TTGCCTTTCTTTTTTGCACTACTTTTGGACCCATTACCGGAAGTTCTTTCATTTTGGGACGCAATAAGTCAAATCAAATAAATTGCGCAATGTGCCTTTAAGGTAAATATAGCATTTAATTACGGTTCAATTTTATTTGAGTCTTATAATTTTGTCATCACACAAACTCCATCGAAATGTTTAGGTGATCTGGTGCAGCCACCCGCTGAGAACGGTAAGTTCACTTCCTCGATAATTACTGTACTGTAAGGGAATTTTTGAGTAGTATTTTCTCATGTGCAATTTTTTAAGCAACATCAACGACAACCACAACGATACGAACTCTAACTCCACCCTCTGCGACGGAAATGTGGAAATGCGCACGACAAGGAGTATCTGCTACTATGAGAATACTACAGAGGTTTGTGGTGAGTGAATCTACCGTTACACTGATATCTAATTTTACGAGGATATCAGAAATGTATCACCATGCCACGTACATGATCTAAGGATAGAATCCCGCGTCCAAAGACGGGAGAACCTCCACAACAAGGATCAACCGTCCGTTCGTACTATTCGAAGGTCGCATTAGTGATTTTGGAAAGGGGGATCGCATTTAAAGCTTGTGCAAGGTCACTACCTTTGGGGAACTTCGAACGGGTGTCGTAATTTGACGGGTTGACGAAGTTGGCGAATGTTTTATGAAAGTAGGGTAACGTAGACAGATTTAGTGGGTTCGCCGCGAGGAGGAAACCAGATAAGGCCGATGTCAGACTTTGCGAATCGCGCGATTCGCTAGCGTCTGCGGTCGCGTCGCGGCCAGTGAATCACTCAATTGGCTGGTACCGCAACGCGACCGCGGACGCTAGCGAATCGCGCGATTCGCAAAGTCTGACATCGGCCTAGGGTATGTCGACTGGTATTAAATACTGTAAAACCAGCCATGATGGTGAGGGGCAATCAGGGTAGGTAGGAGATCCAAAATTTCTAGAAAAGTGCGTATGCAACGATGATCTTGCTTTCAACCTTCAGGGTGTTTTGAGGGTTGAAAAATTGCCTTTGTTGTTCACTGAATATGAAAAAGTATGCATTTCTTGTACTTTTCAGATATTTGCGAAGGTGTGATTTGTCCTGTTGGGAAGAAATGTGTGAAAGAAAGAGATGGAATGCTCTTCAATGTGTGTCTGCCGGAATGACGTCGACGTTGAAGATGAAAATGGTATTTGTCGAAGTGAGTCTTTGCCTAACAGTAAAAATCCGATTCCAAGGAATTTCTTCTCCGGTGCTCTCTGCATTATTATATTTACTATTCAGTCCCAATAATCCTTCAATTTCCCTCTTGCATTGTTTAGTATATCAATTTCGGTCTCCGAGTATGGCAGAGTGGGCCGCGTGCGGTCGCGACACGTTAGCTAGATATGTCGGTAATCTGCAACGGTGGCTCTCCTTAGTGACCCCTCAACCATCTTTTTACGTATATCTGGATGTCTTCACTATATTTTGTTTTTTTCCGATCTGTAGCAGGGTGAGCCACGTTCCGGCGAAATATGACAGTCACTACGACTCACTCCCCCACCAGCCGGGGTTTCACCGCCCGCATCGTCTAACCTCCTTCGTAACACTAGTAGTACTTCCTACTTCCCCAAACTCTACCCGACTTCCTCCAGTATACAAATATCCGAAAACCGCTAATACCGACTCCACCGAATCCGCCACCTCCACGTAGAAGAATGCGACTGTACACATGCTATGCGCGTCAAAGAATCCTCAAATTTGGCTCATCTTGGCCTATGGGAATGATTGCGACAGGTTTTTTGATAGTAAGATTTTTCTCTGTCTAACCTTCGCTTCTCATTGATTCCTATAAGCGTGCCAAAAACGTTTCTATTCCTGCCCCTATTCCCTCTATTGGCGCACTCATTTGAAGGCATAAATAAATAAATAAATAAATAAATAAAACGACTGTATGGTCATCGAGTTGGAAAAGAATCATAGAAAAAACAGGTGTTTCCAGATCCATGTGATCTGCACCCGTGCTTGCACGGTGGCACGTGTACCGCAGATATCCAAGTGGCGTCCAGGTACCGATGCACCTGCAGTAAAGAATATGAAGGAGAGCGATGCGAGAAATGTGGGTAATTCCAATTTTTTTCACATATCCTTGCGGCAGAAGCTGTCGGTTAAGATTGGTGCCTCGGCTATCCCTATTGTGGTTGTAAATCCATGTCAACATAGCTGGGGGATCAACATAATTTCGGCTTTCATTTCTCATTTTCAACCTCCGAAAATGCTTCTTTAGTCCACAATTTCTGCCTGGATCCCGCACCGTCCTTCTGTCCAGCTGGCGAATACGACTGCCAAATGTATGGCTTCGGCAATTACAGCTGTGATTGCGCTGCAGGATTCTACTATAACGTTACTGGGAAACAGTGTGTCAAAGGTAAGCTTTCTTTTTCAAAGTTGTTGGGTTGCTAAGGATCGCTTCATTACGTAAGGCGCTAACGCGAATCATGAATAGTCTGTTTGTCCGCATGTGTTCCATTGTCTCTCTTCCGTAAGTTGCTTAGTGGGCGTGGCAGAGAGGAAAACGACAGCTAGTGGAACGTTGGTTACCCCCCAAAAAGGAAGGGTTTCAGACAAAAACTGCATTTGGGCTGTTTTCCCTTTAGACTCCCCTACGCGCAGCTCTCTTCATGAAAAACCTATTACCAACTAGAAGTAAGCAAAATGGATGTTGGTCAAGAAATCCATGTTGCTGGACTGAATACTCTACATTTGTAGTGGAAAGTAGCTCCTCCTGACCCACATCTGCGCAAACCATATTTCAAGTGTGTATGAAATGGGGTGCGCCGAACTGCTTAGGCAAGCCAGAGTGACTGCTTCCGAATGACTACTGATACTAACTTCCACTGCAAGTAGGTGACATAGGTTTTACATATTATGAACATGATTACGACAGCGAACCCTCCGGCTGTGCGGGACTAACACTAGGGGAAAGAAGAAAAATGAAAATGCTAACGAAGGGGATCCCTGTTCATAGAATTTGAATACATTGCACTTCAAATCCCTCTACAGTGTTTATATGCAGTCCTTGAATGACCAGTTCCTTGATACAGTGATCACAATGACTAGAGGGCGGTGCTTTTTTGATGGCGTCACTTAACACTATTGGTAGACCTAACTCCTCAGCATGCTGAG